TCCATTGATAAGAATGTTGTTTATTGGTCCAGTGGTGAAGATTTTTGTTTTCTTTACATTGAGATGCAATCCATACCGAAGGCTGTGCTCTTTGATCTTCATCAGTAAATATTTTAAGTCCTGTTCACTGTCAAGCTAGTGAAGGTTGTATCATCTGCATATCGCAGGTTGTTAATGTGTCTTCCTCTAATCCTGCCACGTTTTTCTTCATATAAACCAGCTTCTCAGATTATTTGCTCAGCATACAGGTTGAACAAGTATGGTGAATACATCTTTCTTCATTTTAAACCATTCAGTGTTGCCATGTTCTATTCGAACAACCGCCTCTTGGTGCTTGTGCAGATTCCTCATGAGCACAATTAAGGACTGAATATTATAGTACCTAAAATTAAAACAAAAAAACAAAACAAACAAAAAACCACTGGATGTGCTTAAAGCAGAATGCAATGACAGAAAGGTAAGTGAATGTGAAAATATATCAATAGAAATTATTCTATATTAAAAGAAAAGAAAAGATTGGAAAATAATATGAAGGAAGACTCAGAGACCTTGGGACAGTGTTTTAACAGTCGAATACTCATAAGGAGCCCAGGTGTGGCACTGTAGAATAAGCTCTGGATTGTTAACCTCAAGGTTAGTGGTTCAAATCCACCAGCTGCTCCTCAGAAACCCTATACAAGGTCACTATGTGTTGGAAGTGAATTGATGGTACTTAACAACAACAATGCTCATGAAGTCAAAATCTTAGATGGAAATAGAATGGGACAGAAAAGATATATGAAGCTATAATGGCTTGAATGACTCCAAATATAGTGAAAGATATACATTTACTGATAGAAGAAGCTCAGCAAGCAGTCAGTCATTAATATTCAGTGTATGGAATTTATTCTAGACATGATCTCTAAATTAGGTGGGATATACTCAAGGTCATGTGGGAGAAAGAGGAAACTTTCTACTCCCATAAATTTTTACAGCCTTGGACACCCATCAGGGTCACTATGAGTTGGAACTAACTCAACGGCACATAATCATCACCACCACTCGAAGTTATATTTTGGCTCCTATGGACTTGCTTTAATTTTCTTCCGCTTCAGCCTGAATTTGCTTATGAGCAATGATGTTCTGTTCTGCAGTCAGCCCTTGGCCTTGTTCTGACTGATGATATTAAGCTTCTTCAGCCTCCTTTCACAGACGTAGTCAATTTGATTATTCTGTGTTCCATCTGGTGAGATTCATGTGTATTATTGTTGTTGTTGCTAGGTGCCATTGAGTAGGTGCTGACTCATACCGACCCTGTGCACAACAGAACAAAACACTGCCCGGTCCCACACTAACCTCACAATCATTGCTATGCCTGACCCCACTGCTGCTGCCACTGTGCCAATCCCTCTCACTGGAGGTCTTCCTCTTTTTCTCCTATCCTCAACTCTATCTTCGCTAGGGCCTGACAATATGTCCGAAATACGATAGACGAGGTCTTATCATCCTGGCTTCCAAGGAGCACTGCGGCTGTACTTCTTCCAACACTGTTCTTTTAGCAGTCCATAGTACTTTCAATATTCTCCTCCAACACCATAACTCAAATGCATCAGTTCTTCTACTGTATTCCTTATTCACTGTCCAACTTTCACATGCTTATGAGGTTATTAAAAATATCATGGTTTCTGTCAGGTGCTCAGTCCTCAAACTGACATCTTTGCTCTTCAACACTTTAAAGAGGTCTTGTGTAGCAGATTTGCCTATTGCAATACATTCTTTGATTTATTGACTGCTGCTTCCATGAGTGTTCATGGGTAATTCAAGTAAAATGAAGTCTTTGACAACTTCAAACTTTTCTACATTTATATGAATGTTGCTTATTGGTCCAGTGGTGAGGATTTTTGTTTTTTTTTTTTTTACACTGAGATGCAATTTATACCAAAGGCTTTGATCTTCATCAGTAAGTATTTTCAGTCCTCTTTGCTTTCAGCAAGTAAGGTTGTACCATCTGCATATCACAGGTTGTTAATTAATCTTTCTCTAATCCTGATGCCACGGTTTTCTTCATGTAATCCAGTTTCTTGGATTATGTGCTCAGTATACAGATTGAATAAATGTGGTGAAAGAAAATAATCCTGGTGCACACGTTTCCTAATTTAAAACCATTCAGTGTTCCCTTGCTCTGTTTGAACAACTGACTCTTAGTCTATGTACAGGTTCCTCATGAGCACAGTTAAGTGTTCTGTAATATTCTTTGCAATATTGTCCAAAGCGTGTCATGATCCACACAATTGAAAGCCTTTGCATAGTCAATAAAGCACAGGTAAACATCTTTCTGGTATTCTCTGCTTTCAGCCAAGATCCATCTAATATCATCAGTGGTATCCCTTGTTTTATGTCTTCTTCTGAATCTGGCTTGAACCTCTGGAAGTTCTCTGTCAATGTATGGTTGTAGCCGTTTTTGTATTATCTTTAGTAAACTTTACTCACATGGTATATACATATGTTTAGTTGACTTTTACATTTCTTAAAAAGATATTTTCAATGAATAAACCATTGTTTTTGCAGAATTCTGTCATATAATCTCCAGTGTTGTTTCAATCACCAAGGCCATATTTTAGAATTACCAATCCTTCTTTGTTTCCAACTTTTGCATTCCAATCATAAATAATTGCCAACAATTCTTGGTTGCATGCTTGATCAACTTCAGACTGCAGAAGTTGGTAAACATCTTTAATTTCTTGATATTTGACATTTGTGTTTGGTGAGTAAATTTGAATAACTTTCAGGTTAACTGGTCTGTCTTGTAGATGTATTGATAATATATTATAACTCACAGTGTTTTACTTCAGAATAGATCTTGATAATATATTATAACTCACAGTGTTTTACTTCAGAATAGATCTTGAAATGTTCGTTTTATCAATAAATGAGATGCTATTCCTCTTCAATTAGTCATTCTTTTCATAGTAAACTGTATGATTGTCTGATTCATAATGCCCATACCCATCTATTTTGGCTCACTAATGCCTAGAGTGGAGTCCTGGTGTGGCGCTGTGGGCTAATGTGTCAGACTACAAAGTTGTTTGTACTGCAAGATTGGTGGTTCAAGCTCACCAGCTGCTCCATGGAAACCCTATACAGGGTTGCTATGGGTTGGAATCAACTCGACAGTACTTAACAACAGCAACAACAATGCCTAGGGTATCTATCTTTAAGTGTTCCATTTCATTGTTCACAAGCAATGTTACTAATCTTTTCGTTGGTTTGAAATTCAATCTTGCCACTATATCTTTTTCATCTCCGTACTATACAACATAAAGAACCTTGGTTGTGTAGTGGGTTATACATTGTGCTGCTAACCTCAAGGTCAGCAGTTTGAGTCTACCAACTTCATAGGAGAAAGATAAGGCTTTATGCTCCCATAAAGATTTACTGCCTTGAAAACCCTACACAGGGTTGCTTTGAGTCAGAACTGGTTCGACAGCACATAACCACTATCACCACCACTATACAACATTACTGAAAGCTTCCCAGGAGACTTATGTAAACTCAGAATTTGATCACTTAAATACGTTGCTTTAATTAAAGATGATGCTCTCCTCCCCAGATCCTCCATGTAATCTGGGTTTCCTCATTGCTCTTGGTGCAATCATTAAAGAGGTACTAGAAGCCTGTCTCCTAAAACTTGTCATTGGTGCATTACAATTCATCACACTGGCTTCCCATTTCCCAAATATTAGAAGCAATTTGGAAAATGAGAAGCTGTCATCCTATTTTCCTTCCTAACTCCTTGTACAAAGCCTGCAATTATTTCAATGTTTCTCCTATTAAACACAAGTTTAATGTTTCTCCTATTAAACACTTCATAGGAATGTTGGTGTCTAATTAATTATTGTTTGTCAAAAGCTCCAGGCTCTTTACTTGGAAGGGGGACTGTAGACTCATACAGTATTATCTTGGAGAACCTTGCATCTTACTTCATTGAACAGAGATAGTGTCTGTGTGTAATCAAATTAACCATACTGCCACAGGCTTACGCTGTAATTAATGAAACCCATGCAATCTGAATGAAGTGATCAGTCTATTATTTGAAGATACAATAATTAAGTCTGAAGAGCTTCAGTGTTTTTTCAAGTAGCTTCTTTTTTTTTTACAGATGACTATTGACATTTTGTCTCTCAATCTCACTTTATTATGTCAATTTACTTTGTGTCAAGTCATCTCATGACATGCAGACTTCCTGATAGACACAAAAAATGTTCAATCTGCACAAATTTGTATTCTGAAAAATAGAACAATCTTAAAAGATCCAAACACAAAAGCATTCAGCATGAAATAAAGGTAAGAGGAAGGGCACACATTTTATTAAGAGCTGCACTGTGTAAAGTATCTGTGGGCACTTATGTGACCTCCTTTAATTTTCCCCCATCCACACAGTGGAGTCATTAGAATCCCCTTTTCATGCAGGAGGACACAGATTCAGGAAGGGAAAATAGTTTATTGAGGGCCACAAGTGAGCAAGTAGCAAGACTAGTATTTAACCCCACACCTCTCTGATTCTCAAGTTCACACTTTGCAGGAGTGGCAAAGGCTTGCATCTATGCAGTACGCACAAGAGTGTGTTATTTGCGATGTGACACCTACCTTCAGAGTCTTGTTGTGTCTCTGCAGCTCCCGGCACAGACTCTCCAATTTGCTGCGAGCAAGGATAGCTCTGCTGTGCTCACTTTGCAACTGGTCCTTTTCTTTTTGGACTTGCACCTGTTTCTTTTGTAGGAGCTTTAACTTCTTTTGCTCAGTACGATGTTCCTCTAGCTAGTCATGGGGTGTGAACATGAGAGAAAAGGGCAGAGACTTTTAGAGTTGATAGAAAGGAGCAGACAAGAAAAGACCAAAAGATTACTCTATTATTTTGCTATCATCACTGTTCCTCTAGAAGTAAATGAACCTCGTAAGTGTCACCTTTGTGGTACTTGCCGCTTTTAGAGCATAATATTTATTGTTGTTTTCTTTATTGTTACTATTGCCATTTTCATTTTTTGCTTCTTACTTTGATATTCTTTTTGAAGATCTAGAGATAGTTTTATTTTTCTTCACTCTATCTAATGATGTCAGGTAGTATAGAAAGGCATTTCTCAGAATCTGTAAACCGCCAGAACTCAGGAAGATACCTTGGCAGTGAGGGAACCAGCAACAACTTGACTGCTTAGATCACATTTTGTTCCCACAGTTCTTTTGAAAAACAAACTTATAGCAATTATTTTTTAAAACAGGCAAGAGAAAAGAAGTCTCCTGGTAAACAGAAGATGAAATCCTCTTTCTTGTAATTTTGGACTTCAGGGTGTACTGTGCGATGAAAGAATAGAAAGCGTCCTATGACTAAGTAAGCCTGCACAGGTTCTAACCGAGTCTTCACAAACAGCTAATGGCACGAAGGGCAAATATCTGCAATATGTCCTGCTGTGCACCCATCCCCACCCTCCTGTGATTATTGAGAATAAATCAGGACACTGTTTTGGCCCCAACCCAGGTGGGGGCTTCAGATTTCTCCTCACATTCACCCAACAGCCGTAATTTAGGTATCAAGAATGGCATATCAGATGGAACCAGTTTACCATGTACTTTCCATCTAGGGATAATACAATTCTGGGGTCAACTTGTCATGAAAATACTAGACAATGAACTAAATTTGGATTTCAGATTCAAAGGGAATAATTTCCTTTAGACAGTCCCAGGGTGGCGCAAGTGGTTTGCACTTAGCTGTTTACTAAAAGTCGATGGTTCAGACATACACAATGACTCTGGCATGCTTCTGTAAAGATTACAGTCTAGAAAATTCTATGGTGCAGTTCTACTCTGTAACACCTGGGGTTGTGAGGACTCAGAATTCACTTGATGGTGGTGCTCTTGTTCTTTAAAAAATGTTGGTAAGAATTTCCAAAACATTGCCTGGTTATACTTTTCTAAAAAAAGATTTGTCTTGTTTATTTGTAATGCAAACGTAGCTTGGTGTTGTGTATTTTTTTTTCACTTGCTATGTCTGACAAACTTTTCTATGGGGATCTAGTAATGGGATTCTAGCAAAGATATCAGTTTGAGGACTAAGGAGCGCCTGCCCCATGCCATGGTATTGTCAATGATCTCATATACATGAGAAAGTTGGGCAACGAATAAGGAAGATCAAAGAAGGATTGATACACTTGAATTATGATGTTGGAGAAGAATATTAAAAGTACCATAGACTGCTTGAAGAACAAACAAGTCTGTGTTGGAAGAAGTGCAGCCAGAATTCTCCTTAGAAGCTAGGATGGTAACACTTCATCTCTCATACTTTATAGACATGTTATCAGGAGGGGCTAGCTGAACATCATGAAAAAGAGTAAGACCCCCAATGAGATGGATTGACACAGTGGCAGCAGCAATGGGCTCAAATGTAACAATTCTGAGGACGGTGCAGTGTTTTGTTTTGTTGTAAGTTGCAATCATAGTGTTGTTGGGAGTTGGGGATCAACCACTAGGAAACAGGGGAGCCAGCAGATTCTCATTGTTGTTGTGAAATTCCATCTAGTCAGTTTCAATTCATAAAGACCCTGTACAGGGTTTCCAAGGAGTGGTTGGAGAATTTGAACCACCAAACTTTCAGTCAGTAGTCCAGTGCTTAGTATCCTTAATCTAGTTAGTATCCTATAGTGTTAACTAGGACTCCTTTTTGTTGTTGTTGTTAAGTGACACAAGTAGTTCTAACTCAGAGAGTCTGTATAGGGTTTCTGAGCAGCAGCTGGTGAGCTTGAACCACTGATGTTGCAGTTCAAACCGACTTTGCAGTCCTGCACATTAACCTACAGTGCCACACCAGGAGAACTCTTAGGAGCATCCATTTTAGACTGACAATCAGTGTGACCACATTCCAGTAGCAGTCTTTTGTCCTGAGCCATTTCTTCTGCTGAACTCAGTCCTCTTAATGACTGAATGGTGCATATGTTAGGTGTTAATCATGAGCATGCTGGCCAACCAAAAGGAAAAGCCCTAGGGAAACTTGGATAGTTCTGGCACCAGATATACCTGGTGCCTTGCTGAGTCTGATGAAATAGTTACATACATCACGTGAGCCCTGACTTGTGTCTCAGTTTCCCTGTCTTGAAAAAGTGGTTGTTCGTTTTGACTAGATAAATAAGAATGCCATACTTCTTTAGTTCAGTTTACATCTTATCCTACTCCTGTCCTCTCTCCCTCGTACTATGCTGAAATGAGCACTATAAATCCCTGCCAGATTAAACCAGAGACATTCATATGTGACACAATATCTTCATTGTTGTTAAGTGCCATTGAGTCGGTTCTGACTCACTGTGAACCTGTATAGGGTTTCTGAGAAGTGGCGTTTGAACCGCTGACTTGCGGTTAATAGTCCAGTGCTTATCCTACAACACCACCCTAGGACTCTGGTATCTTCATACTCGTGGACAATTACTACTTTTTATTGGGAATTAGCATTGTGAAGAACTAGACCCAGATTATAATAAATATTGCTTGAAATTGATACCCTGCTTGAAGTTCCATTGGAAAATCAATGACATTTATTATATATTTCTCATCCTGAATTTGTGTTCATAAGATAGATGAAACCCTTTCATTTTGCACCATAATCATTAGGTAGGAGTGAAATTACTCTTGGTTATATGTGGATTTTCAACAATCTGTTGTCCTCTCCTGAAATTTATATATTGTTATTGGATTACCGTTATGGTATAGACTTTATATTTTACAGATGAAACCGTATGACAGGGTTTCTCAGTCTCAGCTCCAGGCATTTTGGGTGGGCCAGAGGTGGCTGTGCTGTGCTTTGTAGGCTGTTGAAGTAGTATCCCTGGACCTTACCCACTAGATGCCAGTAATAATCCTGATTATGACATCCCAAAATATCTCCAGATATTTTGTTGGCAACGAATTTGTTGGCAAAATTGCCCATTTGGGGAACACTGTTCTGTGTGGATTTATGAGTGTCAGGAGGAGGATACCCACATGCTTTGGCAGTCCAGACCCACCATCCATGCCTTAGAAATCCTATACTGATCACTGTGAGTTATAACCAACTTGACGGCACTAAATAAGAAAAATGATCTTGTTCAACTACTTCATCTGACTTAAATGAATGTATATGGGGTTTCTTAACAAAAGCAAATGTACTGTAACCGAGTCAGCTTTCAGTCAGATGTTGGCTTTGTGGTTGAGTGTGCTTACCCATTGTTCTTCTGTACAATTGTGAGAGACACAAAAGAATTTTATCTTCAATTTCTCTTGTTCTCACTGTCTTTTTTGCTAGTGGTGGTAGTGGTGGGTATGTGCTGTGGAGTCAGTTTTGACTCATAGCTACCCTTTATAGGGTTTCCAAGGCTGTAAATCTTTATGGGAGAAGAAAGCCTCATCTTTCTCATGTGAAGCGGCTGGTAGATTTGAACTACTGACCTTTAGTTTAGCAGCTCAGCTACCTTTACAATTGTGACAGTCTAATTGAGACTAATTGAGTCATGATAACAATTATTCACTACTGAATCATACAAATCTTATCCCCATCTCTTTTCAACAGACCCATCTAGACGAGATGACAACTATGCAGTGGGGACTGTCTTTCCCTGCATACTCATGAATCTTAGGTCTTCTTAAGATTTTTTAATCCTTTTTTGTACTTGCTTTTCTATCTTAGTGGTGTTGAGAGATTTATCTTCTAGCTCACTGGCTTCTAACTCTTCTATTCTACTCCTTTGCCCTTTCAGTGTATTGTCCATTTCTGATATTCTATTATTAATCGTTTGGACCTCTTTCTGTAGGTTTTGAATTGTTCCCAATGCTGTATCTATCTTATTTGATTGTTCCTATAGTGCTTTCCTGACTTCGTCCATATTTTTCTCAACTCCATTGTATAGTGTTTTGATACATTTTATAATCATTTT